ACGAACGTGATCCAGATATTCGTATTTATCCCACACGCAGTCGCAGATTCGGAACTGCAAGCCTAAGCATTATAGCGTATAAGGAGACTGGTGAGGTATATGAAGTGAGTGAAAGTGAATGGAGATATCGGGAGATCATGTGTAGGTCTAATAGAGAGCAGCGATTATGTCGTCCAAATGTAGTGTATGATCTTGTCATCTACGATCTCCGAGTCCCTAGAGAAGAGTGTAAAACTCGCTTCCAGTCCAAGGAAAAGAACTACCACATGGTGTACTCGAATACCACTCTGATTTCTGGGTTTCCAGCACAGCGACGAATACACGCAGACATTTCTTTTTCCAAGTGCTGAGTCCACACATTTTCGTTTTCCTTGTCCCAAGAAACGCAGCCATAGACCACAATGCGCTGGAGGCCTCTCATTGTTTCCAGAGTCCGAAGGGCGGCCAATGCATCGTTCTGCACTGGATGCCTGTCAGTCACCGGGACAACGCCACTGGGGAACTCGAAAGCCCTTCTAGTGACCCGGAACGTGGTTATAGCGTCTCGCTGCTCGTTGCTGAGCCGGTTGATGAATGTGCTAATACCCCGAGGCAAGATCTGGAAAGCGTAGAGCTTGAAAGGTAGGAGGCGTGTCTCCGCATGGACCTGGCGGCTGACAGCGAGGAGCCGGAGATCCGCAGGGAGGGGTAGGCGTCGATCAAGATGGCTCACGTACATCTCTGAGAACTTGGCAATCGTGGTGTCGCGAAACACATAGGCATAGATCTGGTTGCGGATCTCGCCCGGGAGGCGCAGAAAGGCCGACTCTCGCTGGTTGCGCGTGGCACTGCAGCGATATTAGTTATGATCTGAGCAGCGCGAAACTTCCGTAACAACTTACATGACGGCTGCTTCTTGAGCAACTCGAGCGTCCATCGTGGTGTTTCGTATCCGTGGACGCTATTCAAGCTTGGTGGTGAGCAAAACAGAAGGAGCGTCTAAGGTGGTTTCCAAGGATATGAAAACAGTCCAACCGGGCTAGTGAGAGCAAACAGTCCTCTGATGTCATCCATGGATTGCTTTGCAATATCGGAAGGTGCGCCTCTTCTCTCACTTCAAACGACCTTCACCTCTTTAGCCACGGCAGCGCAAAGCTCGACCGTCACTCCCGCCCCAGAGAGCACATGTATCCAAAGCCTCTGTGTGTCACTCAAACGGTCGTTCTCACTTTTCACCTCCGCGAACTTGACTTCGCCCTTCTTCCCCTCTTCTTCTGCAACTCGCCAAAGAAACAAATCGGGTACACCGCCACCTCTCTGTCCATACTCTTGCGCCATGACTTTACACACTGTTGCCAACGCCTCGCCGTCAAAGCAGCGAGCAATCTCAAGCAGATCAACAACGTCATAGGTCCAGTCCAGACCTACAACGCAAGTCCGACGCTCATGGTGGTCGTCGTAGATTCTCTGGATGATGGCGGGTGCATCACCGTTTGATATCTCATTCAACCTCGCGTTGATCTCGGATATCCGAGAGGGATAGAAGGCGTCGGTATGTAGGTCCAACGGACAGGTCTGGTACGGAGTCTGGAAGACATTGGGTACGTAGGTGAATAGGACGTCGTAGAACAAGTATGCGAAAAGCGTGCGCACGATACCACCTTCAGCGTGATAGCCTTTCCAGCCTTGGTTGCGGTAATGCGAGAGACACATTGCTTCGACGGAGCATTCGCCGTCCTCACGCGGATCAATCCATATTGTCTTTCCACCCCGCCGACCCGATTTCGCATGTGGTGAGCTAGTTCGTCTCGACAGTGAGGGTCTTTCACGTTCGATGCGCGTTCCCTCCATAACGACTTCGACCGGCTTCGTCAAGCGGACATGTGAAAAGTCGTGTTGCAATCGTTTAACAAATTTCAGAGACAATTCAAGTTTGGTGATACGCTTCTGCAAATCATAGTGATAGATAATATGCACAAGGTTATCCTGCAACCCGTCTTCACAGGTCTGCAAAGCAATAAGCTTCCAATGCCTCTTTTGTTTCTCTGTGCTTCTGTTCTCCGCATCGGTCAAGGCGGCCATGTAGTGTTCTTCAAGCAATGCTTTGCGCTGGTACCAAGCTCCTCTGCGAGAATGATGGAACAGTCGCTGTTGCAGCAGCTCATTCAAGAGTTCGTGCTCGCGCCTATGCTCCTTCCGTCGTCTGAGTATGTCAAGTGTCTTGTGAATGATGCGCGTGTATACCCAAGCTGGTGAAAGACGACGAAGGTATGACCCTTCGCCGCTGTGGTAGACACTGTCCTCTTTTCGCTGCTCTTCTTGAACAAGCACTTGCCAGCGCGGATATACCTCCTCAAAGGTATCCAAGATTTCTTGATATCCTTTCTCCGTTGGTCTTCCGTTGAACTCCAAGATGCTATCGATCCGGTACTGCGTTCGTATAGAAGCCTCATACTCGAGCAATAGGGACCGAGAGGCGAAGATATTCGCAGATCGAGAGACAATGTACTCTGGAAAGTTCCAACGCGCAATCTTCGCCAAGATGATGGTTGTCAATGACTTCTCGGTCCACTCGGTAGAGCGGTAAAAGACAAGATGCACACGTTCAAAGAGCTTCAAAGTGGCTAGCGAGAGTCGTATACAAGGGCCTGTTTCTTGCATGATCCTCCGTGTGAAGTGCGCATCGCGATTTGCATCATCGGAGAGATCAGCTTCGGGCTCCAGCTCGACATCGGGCGTCTCCGTTCGTGACCTGGATACAGAGGATGCTCGCGACATCTCTGAGTCCGACCGCGTCAACCCAACATGGCCCAGACCGGTCTGTCTCTGACTTGTGCGTCGTAAAGCCTTCAGAAGCTCACCCTTGTTCTTTCCCTTGACCTTGGCATCCTTTGCAAGAGCCTTCAGTTCATCGAGTTTCAGCAAGGATGATGCTTCCTCGAGTGTGCTTATCTCCTCCTCAGATCGATCCGCGAACGTGAATGTGCTGCCCAGTGTTGTGCCTGCTGGTGCCTCTAGTTCGCCCGGATGTGACTCGACTTCGGAGGAGGAGGCCGGTAGGTCGTATGTGCGTTGCAGTATTTCGGCTGCTGCGTCAAGGTCTGAGATGTCGCTGTGGTAGCCCAGGTTCTTTATGCGATGCCATGCGGAGGTCTTGCGAAGGAAAAGGCGTACGTATCTATGGAAGGAATCGTAGTTAGTAAGACCCTAGTACTATTTTTCTTAGAGCTTTAAGCTTACAGATATTGCGCCTCATAGCCTATCTCTCTCCACATTCGAAAGACTTCTGTTTCGGCCTCATCAAAGAGGTGGCCTTCCTCGTCCAGCACAGTATCCAGCGCGAGGTTGAATGCGTCGACATAGAGCGAGCTCTTGCCTCGAATCCATGATCGCTTTTCCAAGCGCTCATCTGTCCCGACTGTCTTGCTTTCTTCCTCCGCCTTGTACGCTTCATATGCTTTGATGGCGTCATCGCCTGTATCGACTTGGGGTAGCGCACTTTCCAGATCTGTCTTGTGTTCTTGTTCTTCCTCTTTGATCACAGTGCCAACACTCTCGTCGTCAGAATCAAGCACTTCGCGCTTGACGACCTTGCGTGGTGTTGGCGGTGGTTTCTTGGGGCTGTTGCCCGTCTTCTGGCGCTTGACCGGTCGATCTTGCTCGCCATCGAAGTTGGTGGATTTAGGATGCTTGATGAATCGGGTTATCATTTTATTGTGTACGGAAGGGCTCCGAGGATTAAGCGCCATTGCGAGGTCGCAGCAAGCTGCGGAGCGGCGCCTCGAACCAATGCAAGTAGCACTCGCCACAAGCCAGGGCCACGCGCGAGATCGCGCTGTCACGAGGCACTAACCCCAGCGGAACTTAGCGTGATCGAGCCTCTGACGTCATCGCGATGCCCTTTCGATCTTTGAGTGAAGGACCTCCGCCAGGTTCAACAGACCTGGAAGGTGCCTAATCGCCGAGGAAAAACCTTTATGCCAGAATGTACGGTAATACGAAGGAACTTGTACAGGACTTCCGGACGACGAAGAGTAAACCTCTACCCATTCTACAAACGTCTGAACGCCTTCCTGGGGAATGGTCTAGGTGAAGATACCGCAGCTACAATCGACAGCTCTCAATACTTGCCTAACGCGGTAACGTCCGTCCCAGGTTGAGATGAGTTGCGACAGCAATGTACGTGTGAAATCCCACTCCCTAAAATCTACGGTGGAGAGAACCCATCTATAGAAGGGTATGCACCAAGAAGAATAGCAACGCTAGAGGAGTGGGTGGAGGGTAGAGGGTGAAGGATATGCTGCCGCAATCAACGGCTTGCGATATTGCTTGATTGGGTAACGTCTGGTTCGAGATGAGATGAAATTTGATATATTCAGCACACCCGACGAAGCGCATCAACTAACAACAGTCACATAACTTGGCATCATCATCTTCCTGCCTGCGCCTCCGGCCCTTCGCACCGGACCACTCTCGACTGCGCCAACTCCAACCCACTTCCCATCCATTGATCGCTCTGAATCTCTACTTCGGTATCAATCTGTACGCCCATATAGGGTACACCATTCATTCCCTTCCGACCACTCCCCACTTCCAGATCTTTCCTGTCGTCGCTCCTTTGGATATCTTCTCTTTCCACGAAGGGGTTCTCGCTTCCTAGTACTCTTTGCCCAGATGTATGTATCGAAGTAATGCCAGATTTGATGTCATAGGCGAGCTCAACGTCGTGTGAGCTGAGGTTTGTAAAGGTGTGAACACGGCTCTGGCGTTTGCTTATGGATAGGTTACCGTATCCATGCGAGCTCTGGCCAGGCATCTTTGATTGGCTGGTGGTATAATAGCTTGTGTGTTCACGAAGGAAGCGTATGTGTTCGCGGAGAAGAGGCCAGATGCCGGGGAGATTGGCTACGTAGACGGCAACGGATGCCTCACGGGTATACCACAGCATGTACGTGGTGGAGTATACGTCCGATAGATTGTAAACTTTTGTCAATATTGCTGCGACGATCTTGTCGGTCGTGTCAGTAAGAAGAAACGTGAGTTGACAGGAGGGAGGAACGTACAACAAAAATACCCATGCTGAATAGTATGCCTAGCACAACCTTCTGTTTCAGAGGAAGTGAAAGCGACATGATCATCGGTATCGGCACAGCGATGATGAGGACATCGCTGCTTATGTTGAAAGTTGCCTGTACTATCGCAAAGTGCTCAAGGGTCGTGCATTGCGGATTTGGGGGCGGCACTGCCCAGTATCCTACGAATGGGCGACACGCACTGAAGAAAGTAATCTGGACAGCGAACCAGCCGATAACGACCCATAGTGCAGCCGCTTTGATCCACTTCATATTCGTTGTTCCGGTCAGCATACGAGCAAACATGAACAGCATACATGCTTTCAAGGACCATATAACGTTCAGCATACACTACTACGTGTTAGTTGTGCTTTATAGTGTGTTTGCATGTCTCATGGTCTGTTGACTTACTTGCTCGGAAACGACGACGATCTTCGATCCTTTGATTCGCTCATCGATCTCGGCTTGAGCGAACGTAGAAAACAGCTCTGGTGGGAAGAGGTTACTTCCACCTCCTGTTGCGATTGTGTTCAAGCATACAATCAGCCCAGTGTAGAAGATTGGTACGGCCGTTGCCATGATCCAGTCATCTACTGCAAAGGCGTTTAGGCTTCTGACTCGATGCCATCGCGCGTATCTGTAGCTGAGAGTGAGCACGGCGATATGGTTTGGCTAGGTATTACTAACGTGCGGAGTAGGATCATGACCATGCCGGTGCCGTATAATATCCATGACTGCACCGACAATTGCTGCGGGAAGTCGGACAGGTCGCTCTCGCTCATGATCGAGAATACGATAGTATCGCCTGAGAGTCGTTCGGCCAAGGGTGTTGTCCACGAGATGTTTCGTAGAAAAAACGAATGTTTGGAGGTATCAGTCGCATTTCCTCCACATGTAATGCTCCATGCTTTGGATTGTTAACTGGTCGATCCAAACATAGTGTCGGGATGAAAGGTTTGGAATTCTTGAAATGAGATGACAGCCTTGGATAATAAGAATGGTAGACCGCGGGAAGTCTATTGCTTGGCCAAGATAGACATGGTTTCACTGCACCTATCAGGACACCTAGACATCAGGTCATATTTGGATACGGCCCAAGATACGGGACGGGTATCCTGAGACTAAACCCACAACAAACATCAATGAACATCTCCGTGAAGTTGTAATCGGTATCTTGGAATCCTTCGAGGTTTAATGGCGTGGATGGCCTGTGGCGACGATCACCATCAAAGTCGACCTAAATAGTTAGCATCACATGCCAGCCCATTCATGCTTCCAAGAAATGCCAACGGGAAGGCATGATTGGTGAGAATTGGCGCTGACAGCCAAGCTTGTCCCTGAACGAAGCGCGGGGTGCAACATTCAGCGTGATGGGGTCGACCGCAGCGTGGGATGTAGGCGCTGTCCGAGGCGGACGCCTCCAGCCGCACGGTAAATACTGTCCGTATTGGTATCAGAAATCACAAGGATTCACGTGTAAGCGATGCTTGTGATAATCTTACTGACGGCAGGACGAGCGGTGAGTAATAACCTCAACAACGAGAGAAACACCGTATACCAAGGTTGTTGACAGAAACGTGTATTCAACACGTACTGCTTCGTCCAGAACACACTCAAAGGCTATTCGAACCACTCAAGCCGTATACCTAGGTATGAGCGCAGTAAGATTCCGGTAATAAGACATGAGTTGTCCTGCCGTATATGCGTCTATCTGCGGCAATATCCACACAGAGACGTTGAAGCGTGGAGGCGGGGAGGTGCGAGATAAGGGAAAAAGAAACCACGACGGAATGCGGATGTCATCCGCCAAGCGATCCCTGCCACTGCCAAATCCTACATTTCATAAGCTTTTAGAAACCAACCACGGCTTGATTACAAGGGACCTATCTCAAAAGAAACATATATACATTCTCAAGATAAGGAAATATGCAGGTCCCAACAGACCCTCCGGCACCATGAAACAGACAGCGGAGAAACCGGAACAGCTCCATAGGAGATCTGCATCCAGGTACCAAGCCACATCATGCAGGGAAGGACCGACCACGTACACCAGACCCAACGCCAAAAAAAAACGCTGAATGTAAACGCTAAACCGCTCAAAAAGCTCCATGTACAGGATAGTATCCATGAGCGCAACACTCATCTAAAGCGCCCAACTGCCTTTCCTAACGGCAGTTCCACGCCCCCCAGCCATGAATTCATCTTCAGCCATGTGGGGGTGTTGTCTTGCCCATTCCTGGATATAGATGCGTAAGGCGCGCCAGCGCATGCATGTCTCCTCGGTAATCTGGGTATCCTTCAAATTGCCGTCGTTGCCTAGACGAATGTAGCCACGGGATGAGGCGAGGTGATCGTCTTGCCTCAACTCGGAAATGGGAATGTGCGAAATCTTTGAAAGCTCTTCATCGAACGGACGTGCCATTGATGGATATCCGAGTGACAGGTAATTGTACACTTGGGTGACAAAGTTGTCACCGAATTCTTCTTCGATGGACTGCTCGACAGCGAGCTTCTCATCGATGCCCGAGAAGTCTGTTTGCCCAAAAGTGACGCCGGAGCTCGATGCCGGAGGCGTAGGTGGCAAGAGGCTCGTAGAGGGCGTTGGACAAGGCGACATGGGGTTTGGCTTCTCATTGTGGGGTGTGAGTAGACCGGCTGGCCCGCGTGGGGACTTGTCTCCACCGTTGACACAAAATCCACCCCACAATCCGTGCGTGCTCGAAGCTCGGCTGTTGGCATTGGACCACAATGATGGTGTTGTACTTGTTTGCCTGCCGTTGCCTTTTCCACACCATAAGCTTTCTCCTGTTTCAGACGCGGCCTTGGACTGCTCAGAGAGATAGCACATAGCCGTCCGGACCGCATCGCATCCTTGAGTAGGGTCAAAACGAGATGGCTCCGGTGATGCACATCGCGGGAACTTGATGTCCTGTCCAAGCATGGGAGGTCGGGCTTCTTTGCGCTGACGCTCTAATTCGGGGTCTTTTCGCTCTTTCGCAAACTTCTTGGCCGTAGCAGCATCCAGAAAGCCGGCTGGGTTTCCAAATGGACTGAAAGCAGGCTTGACATACTCCTTCTGCTTCTGCTCCTCTTTACCGGCTTTCTGCTTCTCTTGATACTCACGCATGGCAATTAAATCCCAATTAACCTGCGTGAAGGACGGTTCTCGCTGCGGCTTCGCCTCAGTGACTGATGGCTCTGAGCCTTCTGTATCATGATCCACGTAATGAGCCACGGGTTCGTGGAAGTCGCTGTTCGGGAATGCGGCCAAGGCCTGTTCCCGAAGCTGTTTCTCTGCAGCCTTAGCAGCCAACTCAAGTAGGTAGCCAGCAGAACTGTCGTCAACACTTTCTCGTCGTCGAGTAGCTTCTTTGTACATAAACGAATGGTCTGAAATATAAGGTGGCGACTCGGTCGGCGATGGCGGCGCAGATGCTTCAGACTCGGAAGACTCAATCGGGTCTAAGTCAGGTACACGGAACGAGTGTTGCGAGCAGCTAAAGTACGACCGGCGTCTACACGGTGAGGCGTTGCGTTGTATCTCCAAAAACAAAGGGTTCTGTTTGATATCAAAAGTCGGTGTGTTTGTTGGCGGTGTGGGAGGGATTCCCAGTATCCTTGCTTTCCGGGCACTTATTGCAGAGTCCGGGGTCGCCTCAGTCTTGTCGGACGGTTGTATTGCGGGAGTGTCGTCCCCAGCCTTGCGATGTCTTTGGGCAGTTTCGATCAATTGTGGTCGAAATTTCTTGGTAGGCAGTTTTAGAGAAGCCCTGTACTGGCTACTGTAGCTTGAAGCCGCTTCCATAGGATCCGCTTTGAACTTCCCGGTGGGGGATGTTTGCTCTTCCCAGTCCTTGGCAAACTTCTGACGACTGCTTCGTGTGGTCGTCTCCAAGGGCTCGGGAGCAAAGCGACGGTTGGACTTCTTGGTAGTCTCAACGGGCTCGGGCGCAAACCTACGGCTAGACTTGGAACTTGATTTTGTCGTCTCTATTGGCTGTGGTGCAAACCTCCGTGGCTTCGGCCTCTCGGCCTGCTGTGCCGGAGCTTTGTCCTGTTCTGCCGCAGCCTTGTCCTTGGAGGACGAGACAGTTGTCTCGATGGGCTCGACCTTGAAACGCCTGGGAGGAGCTGACGCCATCTTTAAGTATTTCCAGCACTTGAAGGGTGCTCCCTGATGCTATACTTATACAGGCAATCGGATATATGACTAACGGTGTCTTCGCCAATCGCAAGACTATGCGGTCGCCCGGGTAGACTAGTGGCAGAGGCCTAGTATCTGGGGAGGTGCGGAACCGAAGCGGGGAATTTACTCGGAATATTTCGGAGGCATGTAACTGCGTAGGGGCGCTGTTGAGTGTGGCAGCGACGTTGCGGACAATGCTCGGTGCAAAAGTAAGCACACGCAAGCCCCGCTGGCGGTATGTTGTGGTGGAAACGCTGGGATGGAGGGTGCAGCCGATGCTGGCTAGTTGGGGGCAGGGAATTGTCTACGGCGGTCAATTCGGAGGCGCGTAGGGCTCAAGGGTACTCGTGTGGTCTTGGAGCATGTCAGTCGCGTGCCATTTTGCTTCTGGCCGTCTCCCACGCCCGGGCTCAACTTACTGGACCCCGTATCGCAGTTCCCACACGGCCAAGGGTTTGTCGAACTGCGGAAAGCGTCTGAAGGAGAGGTTGCCGAGAAACATGTGAATGGCACAATGTCTAGTAGCTGGCGCTGGCGTGTGTGGTGCAGGATGACGTATGGTGGAGCGACTGCTAGGGACAGCCCAGAGCTACCGCGGGGGTTTGCGGGTTTGGGGATGCGTGGGCGTGCACTGGTGGTGAGGGCCGTTGGTTATATCCAGGGCGGTCGCGGTCGTGTTCAGTCGTGGGCGCAGCTCGTTGGACGACAGGGTTGAGTTTCCAGCGTCTTGTTGAGGTTCGAGAGCTGGTCGGAGCGCCCTAGGACCAGCAAGATCCAGGCACTTAGATGGTCTTATCAATGCGTGCACCGCTATTGACACACGAGATATCCCTCGGACTTGGACTAAATGGGCAGTGGCAGAAAGTTCTAGGGCTACATGGCTGTCTACCAGCTGCCCGATGACCAGCCTCGTGGGCGGAGCGGTCAATCAGTGGAGTCAGCACTCTGCACCCGACCGCATCTTCGGCACGTTAATTCGTTCCAGGATGCACGGTGCGAACGTGCAGCAGCCGTGTGGGTCTGCGATGAGAACTAGACAATTCCATGTCGAGCATCGGGGATCGACAAATGGCATGCGCTACTCCACGACTCCAGACTCCACGCCCGCTTGCTGATCGAGAATGACTACAGCCGTTGGGGAATTCAGAAAGTCTGATCAGGCCGTTGTCTCACAGTGAAAGCTATGCGGCATTTTGTGTGGAAATTAATGCTTTATTTACGGAAACCCTGGCCACGTACTTGTCTCCGCTGTGAAGAGCCCACAGAAGGTCATGGCGGCATCGTGTATTCCCGAATGCGGCCGTTGAGGCAGGAATCTTTTCATGTGTGCGTAGCCATGATAGCATAATCCATAACAACTCCACTACACAATTGCAGTATGCACATGCGCTTTCCGTTTACCGGCGTCGTGCTCAGGCCGCATACTTGGAGTCCAATCTCGCGCTGACCATCCGACGTTGTGAGGAGTGATCGGGCAGGCGCGGGCGATTTCGGGTGGCTTTTGTAGTTGACACATGTAGCATGAACAGCGGTCATCGTAACCAAAATTAGACAAATCTGCCTAGGTACCATAGCTCCACTTCGTGAGAGTACTCC